ATCATAACAAATCGTAAATAAGAATGTCTCGTTTTGGTTTGAATATTGAGGTATGTTTGGGTTTCGGCCTGTTGGTTAAAAGTTTAAGATGAGACAGATTAAAACCAGCCTCTTCTTTCCAATTCATTTGAAATGTTTTTTTTATTTTTATTTCAAAATAAATATTTTTATTTAAGTGTAATCTAGAATTTATTAATTTAAAATAATAACTAGAAATCTAGTTTGTGTTTTTTTCACCATTTTACGTTTGAAATAAATTGATGTATCCGTAAATGTTATATTAAAACAGTTTTATGATTTTTCTTTTTTCAACTCTTTTCAGCTTTGCTTCCAAGTCAAATTTGACCTTCAAAAATTTAAATTAAATGCCAATCGATATCGTCTTTCTTTTAAAGATTTCTTCTTTTATTGTTTTCTCACCTTAATAGTGTTTTTTTTCCTCATATTCTCTCACACTCAGTAACCTCTTGTGTTTTAGTGGGTTTTTTTTTTTATTAGGGTGAAATGATTTTTTTAAAATATCCTCGAAGTAATGCCGTGAATTCAACAGGTACCTAATGAAAAAACTTAATATAACAGCCAAGATGAACCTGAGTAGATAATTGTTTTAAGCAAACACCTCAAGCAAGGCATATTCACTTTCTACGCAAGAGGTAACCACAGAGAGAAAGAATGAAATTTATTAAAAGGAAGGTTTTTAATTTTTTTTTAATCAAAAGAAGGACAGGGTCATTTTCAAGGCAAAGAAGATTACCATGACATTCATTCAGTTATGTCATTCGTGAAATACGATTTTTCATCTAAAAAAAAAAATAAATGATTGACGAATAGATTTTTTTTCCGTTTTTAGGTTACCATTTCTTTCTGCAGAAGACCAGTCGCTATCTATGGCCATAGAACCCAGTCTATTTACCCATAGGTGAGGAGAGACGAAGAGGGTATTAGCAGGTAAGTGAATGTAATGTTTGGGTCATTAATTTATCCATTCAAGTTTAAGATGAAACAGATTGAAAAATAATTATTAATTATTAATTAATTATTTTAATTTTTTCCAACTAGAAGTTTTGTGTTTCATGGTGACTTTTATAATTATATATATATATATATATATATATATATATATATATAAATATTTTATGTGTGTGTGTGTTTAAATAAATGTGTGTGTGTGTTGTGTGTGTTGAAACTTGACTAATGCATGGAATAATAATAATGCAACACAAAATGTACTTAGAACAAAATGTATTGAAACAAGAAAGTGTACACAATATTTACATATAGTCTTTTGTATATTCCTGGTAAGACCGTTCCTGGAGAATGTGTTGACTGAGTCGCAGTCGGGCAGAGTCTCTGGTTGAATCTCTTGATTCCTCCTCTCTTCCCGGTACCAACCATATTTATATGGTCGGTACTCCACTATGCAAATTAGGTGGATCCTACCACAACAAATATATATATATATATATATATATATATATATATATTGTTTTGTGTGTGTGTGTGTGTGTTTGTGTGTTTGTGTATGGAATTTTTAACTCGTCTCTAAATTCTCAACCTTTGCCGCTTCCATTGATTCACCGTTTTGAATATTTTTTTAGATTATATATATCAGGGAGGTTAGTGATAAGAAAATAGTTCCAAAAAATTTTTTTTAATGAAAATTTGTTATTTTATAAAAAAGGCGGTTACATTTAACTGTTTCGACAGTGAAAACAATGACCGAGATGCATACTTAATTGTCACGCTTAAATTCATGCATTTTTTAGAGGTAAAAGTTTAAATCGGATAAGTTGCCATGAAAGTTTCAGAAAATTCAGATCTTTTTTTTGACAACAGCAACGTCTGTGAGAAATAATTTTATCTGCGATTGAAATATTTTTTCTATTGTTTTTTTTTGATTTTTAGATAAAATGTTTGCCCTATAAATTATAATTAAATTCATAAAATTTATTCATATGAGGAAAGAAATTTATTTTCTTGTATCTTTGTAAATGAAAATTTGAGGGAAAATGGCATGTCAAAAAAGAAAAAATATTTTCATGGCATATATAAGATTTATATCCCATATAAAAAATAAATTCATTCCCAGTAACAAAACTTTTTGTTAATGTTTGCGTTTTAATTTAATACTTTAATATAATCATTGGATGAAATGATTTTTATTTTTTGACAAATTTTTAGAGTTCCCTATGAATATAAGATTCAATATAAATAACAAACTGGTGTGTTTTGTGACGTTCAAATGTCCAGTGACATAGAAATTCTTATGTATTATTCGTATAAAATTTGATTTTTAAAATTGCTTTATCATAAATAATAATATCTGACAAAACTGAAACAAAACGATGACAATTTTATTTTGCTGGTAAATTTTTTTAATTTCTTCCAAAGAAAAAAATTGGCTGGAAATCAAGACATCCTTCATAATTTAAGTTTACATCGGCCTTTCTATGCTTATATCTAGAACGTTGAGGAGTAAATGCATATTTATTAGTAGTATAAGTTTTAGTAATGGCTATTATTTTACATCAATCACTGTTTTATTATATATTTTTAAAACTTTATATATATATATATATATATATATATATTTTGATTTTTTTAAAAAAAATTTTTGAATTACTGTAAATTAATAAAATTTTGAACAAAATTCATCTCCAATTACGATGTTTTTCATTTCAAATGTTGCTCAACTGCTTTCCCTGAGAGTCTGTACTTTAAATGCTCCATAAGTTTTCTATAGGGTTGAGGTCATCAGGAGATTGGGGCGGCCATTTCAAACACTCACCCTTTTTCTCATCAAAGTATTCCTTCATCAATTTTGATTTGATGACAGGGAGCATTATTAAACATAAAAATAAGAATTGGTGGGGTCGATTTGCACAAATTTTTTAGAAATTTTTAGACAAGACTCTAAAATTCTCTTGTACTGCTCGCTCCTGAGGGTCTTTTCAATAAAGGTTAAGAAACCAGTTCCATTGAAAAAAAAGCATCCCCAGAACATTATACTGAACGGATGCTTGACAGTTTTACTGCTAAATTCAAAGAGCTTTTTCAAAGCTTTTTTTTTCAATTTTTTAGATCGCTTATCCTTTAAATTAAGCTCAACTTTCGTTTCATCGGAGAAGAGAACATTTGGCAAAAAAAATCAGGTGAGTCACTTTTATCGAACAACACTGTATATATATAACCGAATGGGTAGATATAGATAGGTATACGAGCGATCGATCGTATACAAATACATATAAATATTCTATAGAGTAAGAAAAAACAGTGCTCAATGTTAAATAACAGAGATTTTAATATATATATATATATATATATATATATATATTATTTTATTTATTTAAAAAAATTTATAACATAAATATGTTATAAAATCACTACAAAAAATAGTTATTTTGTTTCAACACCATCGGTGTCTTATCAAGTGATGATGTTGAATGTAAAATAAATGGTTTTAAAAGTTTCAAATTAATTAACAATCCTTCACAAGGGGAAAAATTGTTGTTACAAAAGCTAGATGGACCAATCAAAATACAAGTATAGGAAAATTCAAAAAGCTTGACAACGAAGTCATGTTATAATAGCTATTCAGATGTTTAAAAATATGGGTAGTATTAAAAAGAATTTATTCTAACCAATAATTACTAAATTATATGATAAAATTTAATATTAAAATTAAAAAACTGCCTAATTTCAAAATCAAAATTTAATCGCTATTAAGTTTAAACTATAAAATTATTGAGGAGAAAAGAAAAATATATACGTTATTCAATTTATTTCTTCATTGAAATTACTTTTTAAATTTTATATTCGGTCCTTTGACAATGTATACATTTTTATCCTAAGAGGTGTGAATGAGGTCCTAAACTCACGCGTAAAACAAATGCAATTATTATTATATATAAGCAATTCTACATATTTATATATATATACACACACACAAAAAGAGACGAGACAGAGAACATCACCACGATTTTTAAAAAAAAAAAAAAAAAAAATATATTTTAGCGAAACATAACATACATACATACATAATTAAAGTGAATGCATTTTCTATAACATAGACAATTATAAATACATGCACACACATCCACAGACATTGACCCAGACAATCAGATACTACAACCAATAAATATTTAAGACTGAAATATTATTTAATAATTGCTCACCACTTATTGAAATATAACTTAAAAAGAGCAATTATATATATATATATATATATACATATTAAGACATATACATACTGCCTTACATCAATTGAGTTTATGCCGAAGCAATTGTCAAGTGATGGAATTAAGAGTTGACATTGAAGTCAACACCCAGAGGCTTATACGCAATCCTCAGGCTTTATGCGTTGCTTTTATCGACTATTTATACATACATGTCAGTGGTGTATTGTGAGTCGTCCATTGCATTGTTCCAACCGCTAATTCGGTGGGAGGTAACGGTTCTATTTCGAAATATTCTTGTGGCTATTGAGTGAAAAATAATTGTATATTTTCATACCCTCGAGAATCTGATATTAGCTACTTTAACCCATGATTATAGCACATGTTAAAAAACTATATTTTATCAAATATATATATTTATATATTTGAAAACGCGGTTGGAATTACAATGTTGTGTTTTTCAAAGCTCCTGAAAATTTGACGTTTTTTTTCTTTAAAAACGTAAATATGAAATTTTATTTTTACTACTATTTTTTCAAACGAAATATTAATTTTTCTTTCTTTGAGATTCTTCTTCTTTTCTTCTTCTTATTATTATTATTATTATTATTATTATTATTATTATTATTTTTCTTTGATTTCTGGTGTATTTATACATTTCTTTTCTCCTTCCCATCCAGAGACCTAAGGTTAGAAATGGCATCATGACATTTTCCACTGAACAAAGAAAATAAACATTTTTTACAGAGATAAAGCCCTTCGTAAGGTGTGAGCTATACTCTTGAGATTATTATTATTATTATTATTATTATTATTATTATCTAGTTTTGATCTTATCTATCTATCTATCTATCATGTGTTCAATCTATCTTTTCTTCTATCTATCTTCTATCTATCTATCATTATCTATCCAGTCATATCTATCTATTTATTTTATCTATCCAGTCATATTCTATCTATTTCTTCTCCAGTCATATCTATCTATCTATCTATCTATCTATCTATCTCTATCTATCTATCATATCTATCTATCTATCTATCTATCACTTGTTCAGTCATATATCTATCTATTTCTTGTCCATCATATCTATCTATCTATTGTCCATTATCTATCTATCTATCTATCTATCTATCTATCTATCTATTATCATCTGTCCAGTCTATATTGTCTATCTATCTATCTATTTTATCTATCTATCTATTGTCCATTCATATCTATCTATCTTCATCTATCTATCTATCTATCTATCTATTCTCTATCATCTATCTATCTATCTATCTATCATCTATCTATCTAATCTATTCATATCTATCTATCTATCTATCTATCTATCTATCTATCTTCTATATCTATCTATCTATCTCATCTATCTATCTATTATCTATCATCATCTATCTATCATCTATCTATCTATCTATCTATCTATCTATCTATCTATCTATCTATCTATTTTATCTGTTTCACTTTAATTCTCCTGAGTGATTAATCAACTTGTTTTCTTATCGGTATTATTAATATATCCCATAAAAAGTCTACGATATTAAATGTAGATATTTCAAAAGAAATTTTTTTTTCTTAGAAAAACTACGATATTTTTTCTTGGAAAGACTTCGATATTAGTTGTAGATAAATAATATCACTGCTTTCTTTAAATTAATCAATAAGTAAAATTTTATTTGCTTTTCCAATTTGCAGGGATTTTTCACTTAATCTTATTAACTTAAAAAATAATAAACATTAATTATTATTATTATTATTATTAACAATAATATTATTAATATTATTATTAAATTTCACAGCAATGATACGTTACCATTCATATAAATTCTAAACTTTATAAACTGAATGTTCACTTTCTCTTTTTTCCATTAAATTTTTTAACAATTAATTTCGTTAAAACGACTTGTGATGATAGCAACAACAATAATATTTGTTAATTAATTAGCGACTAATCTGATTAACAGGTGCAGTAGCAACAACAGTAAAAACATCACTTTTTTTCATAATTATAAATATATAAGGTATTATTTAAATGATAAATATATAACTTATTATTTATAGAGAGCGTGTTTTGGTTAATAAGAGTAGATAGGCTAGACCAGCGTTTCTCAGTCGTTTTACCCTTGCATAACCCTTAAAATAAATTACATGTCTCAAGGAACCCCTACGCAAAGACAAAATTATAGACCATATATTGTTCATTTTATTTTCATCGTAGATCACGTGGTAAATATTATAGTATATATTTTTGAATAACTGGTTTAAGGAAAAATTAATATTTTTTGTCAAATTTTTCGGTAATGCTACATAAAATTCATACTGTTCGTGCATAATACTTCATCAGGGAATTTTCATTCACTCAAAAACATTCTAAACTCAAACATAAAAGATAAACATAAGTAACCAATATTATATACTCATAATATAAACGTAAACAGAACGAAAACAGACAATTTCTGCATCAGTTTTTTTAATTTTTTATCTTTTACACTGGCAATGTTGAAAAGATATAAGATAAATCAAGTAAGACCTGTTCTCGCAGAATCCTTGGGAACCTTTTGATCCTAGAGTTCCGGGGAACCCCGGTTGAGAAACGCCGGCCTATACTATCGTCCATTTCTATTGAACAGGAGTAGTGGTTCATCCCTTGTTTCATGTTCGGGATATGGTTTAACGGTTCTTTTTCTTTCTTTCCGCGGTGATTTAACTGTCTTTTTGGTGATCGGTGACTTTCCATTGTGAGGGTAGCGGGTTGGCAGTTTGCTGGCTGCTGCTTCCGACTGGTCGTTGGGAGCCCGAACTCTTTGGTAGCGCTTAGAGAGGCTGCTCTGATCAACAGTTGCATAATATAGGGGAATTTGTAGTTCCATAGCGCGCATGGGTAGGTGACCCTGCATGTATTTCCGGTGGGCAACCCCGAGGCCACACTATGCTCTGCCCTCAGCCATTCTCTGGATGGCTTGTATTACCATTGATGACAATGTGACAATTCCGATCTCTCTCTCTCTCTCTCTCTCTCTCTCTCTCTCTCTCTCTCTCTTATCCGCTATACCAGCGTTACGACAGGCGCCTATTCGTTGCTGTTCGCAATAAATGTACATAAGTCCCTGTTTGATGAGAGAATGAGGCATTGCGTAGCCTATAACAACTTTGGATCTCGCGATTAATGGCGGCTCTGTAATAAGGCATTAAATAAGTGTAAGGTCTCTGTTCCTGCCCCTCTTTAATCAATCGCCTGCTGATAAAGTTGAATTCTTTGCCCGTAAGTTGAGTGATATACATATAACCTACTCCATGGTTTCTGCTATCTTCTCTAACCTAGATTCCAACAAAGCAGGTGAATCCGAGGTTATCTCAGTTATAATCATCAAGAAGTGTGCTCCCGAACTGGATCCTGTTCTCTTTAAACTCTAAAATAAATGCCCCTTTTCCTTCTGCTTTCTTGTCAGCTTGAGGTCATCTTCTGTTGTTCCAATTTTTATGAACTCTAGTGAGCCGTCCGACCCTTCAAACTAACGGTTTGTTAGCCTTCTACCTCTAATTGGGAAACTACTGGAGGCCCTAATCAATGCTTAATGGGTTCATCATCTCTCATCACAGGGCATATTCTCAGGCAAGCAATATGGCTTCCATTTCTCCAGGTCAACTTCTGATGTAATGACGATATTTACGGAAAAAGTTTATCATGCTCGAAATAAAAACGGTGAAGCCCGGGTTGTTGCATTGGATATCTCAAAAGCCTTTGACATGATCTAGCATTCAGGTCCTCTCCACAAGTTGAAGAGTTATGGTGTCCCTAGACATTTTTTTAAAATTTATCCTTGGTCATAAAAGCTTGAGGTCATCTTCTGTTGTTCCAATTTTTAAGAACTCTAGTGAGCCGTCTGACCCTTCCAACTAACGACCTGTTAGCCTTCTACTTCTTTTTGGGAAACTTTTAGAGGGTCTAATCAATGCTTAACGGGTTCATCATCTCTCATCACAGGGCATTTTCTCAGGCAAGCAATATGGCTTCCATTTCTCCAGGTCAACTGTTGATGTAATGACGATATTTACGGAAAAAGTTTATCATGCTCGAGATAAAAACGGTGAAGCCCGGGTTGTTGCATTGGATATCTCGAAAGCCTTTGACAGGATCTAGCATTCAGGTTTTCTCCACAAGTTGAAGAGTTATGGTGTCTATGGACATTTTTTTTTTTAATTTAACCTCGGTCATAAAAGAAAATATTCTATAATGGATAATTTTTCAGGTTCTGATGAACGCTGAAGCATAACTGTCAGCTGGTGCATTTAAACGCAAAAGGAAAAAATCAAGGGATAAAAACACATAGTTTTTGCCTTACCAGTTGCAACCCTGATGATGATCTAAGAAAACAGACGGAAAGTAGCGAGAAAATAAGTAATTTTCAGTGTTAGTGTATTTCTTGCCTCATTTGATTGCGATACACGGAAAAATAGAGGATTATGCTAAAAATAAGGTCAGATAACGTTTGTAATTTATTTAATTAGTCATGACAAATATATATATATATATATATAATATTAGTGGTATATATATATATATATATATATATATATATATATATATATAAGACATTTTTATGTTTAACATTCTTTTATATATACAAATATTTAAGTAAATGCTCTGTTTATAATAAACAGTATTAAACAACATTTACCGGCCTGAATGTCCGATAAATTTTCATAGAAAATATTCGTCCCCCGACCGGATTCCTATACGGAACCGTCATATAGCCTGACGTGCCTTTTTACCGATTTTTGGACTAATTTATAAAATTACCAGAGGTGGTCTCAATCATTTGAAATGTAGTGTATATATATATATATATATATATATATATATATATATATATATTAAAAAAGTTTGATGAAAGTAATACTGTGACATTTCCTCTAATCAACTCGACATGGTAAATTATAATCATGGCAATTGTAACAAAGATGGAAGTTGGACGTGATTAAAAGCATGAAATCACGTACACAATATAGGGATGTGCTGAAAATCAAATCCTGAGAAATAATCAATATCCAATCAATATGTCAAAAAATACAGTTTCCACAAAAAGTCTTCCACAAACGTGGTAAACAACTACCCCGCCAAATATCAGATCTCTTCAGTAATATAACACAGACGAAAAAAAAAAAAAAAAGAAAAAATTCTTTCTGAAAAAAAAAATTCCCACTTCATTATTTTATATCTCGTTTCGCTGAGTATCCGAAAATTCCGACTTTTAATACGTTCTGGATAAGACGATAAACTACATCCGCATCCTGTGTAAAGCGATAAACTACATCCGTGTCCTGGGTAAGACAATAAACTACATCCGCATCCTGTGTAAAACGATAAACTACATCCGCGTCCTGGGTATGACGATAAACTACATCCGTGTCCTGGGTAAGACGATAAACTACATCCTGCAGTAAGGCCTCTGATCAGGAGGTTTTGAGGAACGGGGAACCACCTCTTAATTGCTGGTGTTCCCAGATCCACCCTGACCCGGGGTGGTAACAGATATGGACAAATAGTTAACCGCAAATCTGGGGTCAAAGCACTATGAAAGTGTACAAATAAGTTTTAATACCAGAAATATATTTTTGTAAAAAATTATTACCAGCAACGTATTTTGAAGAAGAAAAAAATTATTACCAGCAATACATTTTTAGAAAAAAATATTACTAGCAATAAAAATCTTGTCGTCATTAAATGACCCATTGACGTTGATATGCCGTAAAACAAAACAAACCAAACCAAACCAAAAAATATATACCAAATGAGAATTTCAATAAATAGATTTCGATACAAACTATATATCTGTAAATAATACATCAGTGAAATCAGACTCTCGATAAAACCCTCTTTACAAAAATACGCCAATTAAACCTGATCTACATACTGACTTCTTACAGACAATACATATTCTATTCATACGAACATAAAAATCTTGTCGGCAATAAATGACCTATTGAGGGTGATATGCCGTAAAACAAACCAAACCAAACCAAACTGACTTTTAATATTTTTCTCATTGTGCTTCCGTTTGGTCAAAAGTCCTAGGAATATACAATAAATATTACTAGTTTGAATATTAATATTACCGTATATCCTCGTGTGTAAGCGAACGTCATGTATAGTGCAAGCTCTGAATTTTAACTCTTCCCCCCAAAAAATTACCGCTCAACAAAAATGCATCATTTTTAACCTCTTCAAAAAAGAAAATAACTGTGTATAATGCGACCCCACTATTTTTTGCGTAGAAACCGAACATAAAATCTGGTACTATACACGAGTATATACAGTATGTAGTTTTTATCTCTCCAATTTCTATATACATGGGTAAGTCAAACATTCCTCGCACTTGGCCTGGGTGTAACAGCAAAATTGCCCAAATCGTGTAACACCATAATTCTCCATCCATCAAATGTTTAATATCTAAAAAAAAACCACTAAACTAATTGAGTTT